GGAGATAATAGAATAACATGTGCATACATAGACAGCATATAGGCTGCGTTCGGGCAGCGCTATCCGCGCTATTGTATTCCGTCGCTACGGCGCGAGAGACTGGGCTGTCCTTACGCTAGGTGCACGCTGATTAGCGGATCTTTATTAATTAATATTTTGTTAATTATTGCGAATCTTGCAAAGTGGTATAGAACTTTTCGTCTTAGAATAATTCCTTCTATCTATCTACGAGCAGTTAGACGGCAATTATAGGACACCCTGTATATAAATATAAATATAAATATATATAAATATATATACATATATGTATATATATACACGGAAAAAAATGATGTCAAATCAACAGTATCAGTTTAATTAAAATATATCCTGTTGATGCAACATCAATATTATTGCATTACACACAGGAGATAGGTGGTTTAAGAATCTAGACATTAAATTAAATCGCATATGCAATTGAATGAACTATTTATTTTTGTGGCAGCCCGTGACGTCGACTTTAATTGAAGCAACTCCATTTTTTCTGTGTATAATTACAGACAAAATTGATATCTATTGCAATACATTAAATATTCGTCGTATGTAACGACACGCAAAGTGTCACGTCACAATATATACATATATATCTACTTTAATATGTATGCATCTTCAATTATATAAAACTAAGTTCACGCGCGATATTGAATCGCAATATATATATATAATGACAAAAGCTATGCTTGTGTGTATACATGTCATTCTATCGCTCATTCGAGGATGCACGTCATGCGTGTAGCATTCGGAAAACGCGACCGTGTAATCACCACGGTTACCAGGCAAGCATCAACTCATAAAATCTCGAGCAAGCGATAGAATGACGACGTGACAGCATCGGATGATCGGACGACACATGCGGCAAAGGCAAGCAGGAGAAAGATAGATGAACGTGAAGCAGCTCGCCGCGTCGACCGTGATGCACAAAGGGTAACTTGATACACAAGTCTTGATATGCAAAGCGCGTATGACTGGAGTACATATCCGGCACCGCTTGAAATCTACGACGACGACGTCAAGAATCGTCTGCTGGCTTGAAATTTTACATCAGGAGAACGCGTCGCCGCTTAACAGCAATATTTTATTTTACAGTGCAAAAAAAAATTTCCTGACTTTTTCCTCGTGCGCACGTGCCGCATTTATTAACGATTATAATAGAAAGTTGCCGCGCATGCTAAGAAGTCAATTTATTGTTCTGGCGTGAGTTATAAAAGCAAATGCAAATTCAAAAATGCAAAAACAAGACAATGATTGACGGCTTAACATGAGAGAGTTGCTAATTATTTTCTCCTAAACTTTTGATAATAATTACAACGTATTATGACATGCGAGAAGTAACTTTGGTAAATAAATTTATTTGACTAACAGAAAAGATTTGATTCATCAAATCGCACAAGCTGTCAACTTTTTTCCCAGCTCCGCAATTTCAGAAACATCGCACTGCATTGTATCCTTTAGTTGGCAAGCGTATTTTGTGAAAGGTATAATTAAGCTTTGCCGAGAGTCAGACGTGGTTTACGCGCTACTAAACTTGCTCATTAAATTTTTTAAGTCGCGGAAATATCACGAGAATTTTACAATCTCCTTTATCTACTGTAGAATGTCAAGGATGCAAAACTATATTCTATTCTTTTGTTATGAATGCTGCTCAACATTGTGTAAATAATTGAGGAGTGAGTTATATCACAAAAAATTATTTACAGCTTGTATAATATTATACATGGATGTATAATATTATACATAGATGTATAATATTATACAAGCTGACTTTTTTTTAGATATTTGTACTAATCATGTAGAGGTAAGAGATACAGTGATTGGCCACTTAAGGAAAACTGCATTATATATAGAGTGAATTATAAAATTAAATTTAATAACTTGAAGTAAATCTTCAGTACTATTAGCTCAAACAAACTAATAAATTTATTTAAAAATTTGAAAAATTATTCAAAATTTGATAAAATATTTCTTATAGTCAAAATAGACAGTTATTGGCCATATGAGTTCTGTTAGTATCTGTTTACATAACAGTTATCATAATAAATTTTTTATTTTGACTTATGAAGATATAGTAATGAATATTTTATTTATAACACATTAAAAACTAACAAACCTACTTACATTTGTATCTATAACTCAAAATAAGAGGCCAATGACTGTCATATGGTTTTCATAACCTTAAAAACAGTGATTGGCCAGTTGGCCAATGTTTGTCGTATAACAATAAGTTTTTGAGCTTCTTAAATACTATAATATTACTTTTATTCGGAGCAGAAAAACTTAATTAATATTAAAATGTTTATAATTTAGAATATAATGATAGTATTTATTTATATTTATTACTTCTTTACTACATGGCCAATTACTGTTGGGAGGCCAATAATTGTACTGTTTACCCCTACTAATGCTAGATTTTATTCACCTTTACCAAGATTGCGTAGAATTTGGAACCAAATACCGAATAAAACATTAAAAATGGAATTTCCATTGGTAGTGATAAGCGCAAAGTGCATCTATTCTAAGAACTTTGTTAGCGAAGTATGTTAGCGTTCGCGATCTTTGCCTCTGCAATGTATTACTTTATATAAAGAGCTATAGTCCGTTTAAATAAATAAATAAATAAATATTTTATCAATTTTTCAAATCTTTTATAGAAATTTGTTATAAATTAGTATTTGTGTAAAAGATATTACGTAAAGTGGAAAAACACGTAAAAACCAAATAGTACAGCACAAGAAAATGTGACATAGAATATAACATTCAAGCACGTTCTAGTAGCTCAATATGGCAGGATAGTGTCGTGACCATTATGTGAGAGGCCAAATCATTACGACGAACACGTACGTTGATGTACGCGCTATTACGAAAATGATGCTACTAAATTCAAGCATTGCAATCTATCAGAGTTCTATGAGGTTATCTCAGTTGCCAACTGGTTCTCAATAAAATGTGTTTGTATCATTAAATAAATTTTCTCTCTCATTTTTTCTACATTTTTTCTACAATTTTTTCTACATATTTTTTCTACATACAATCATGAAGAAAACAATTTAATCTCTCATTGACCGGCTAAATTTTTTGCGTTGTTAGTTTAAAAAAAAATTTAAGCTAATACACACACAAGTTTATATGTATAAATCTAACATTGATTAAAACTAGATTGGAAAAATATTGTGTCAATGAGCTGTACTTATAGCGCTGGAAATTGAGCGAAGGCTCTTCAAGACAGTCAAAAAAACATTTCCGATATTGAAGATGTCACGCGATAAAATGTAACGCTAGTAAACAAAATTGAGCGCGTTGGCGCTCATTGGAAAAGAAGGAAAAACTTTCGCGAGTATTCTTCTTTAGCAGGAAGAACAGGAAACCTAATTCAATTTGCAGGATATCGGATAATAGTCTGAGCAATTTTCAAAATTACTTTTAAGATATTATCGTAAGAAAAGTAACAGACGAGTCTCTAAGAGAACACACGAGTCTCTCGCGAGAGGAAGATAGACGAGAATAAAATAATATTGAAATAAGAGTACAAAAATGAAAATAGAAATTTTGATTCGAGTACTGTCGTTTATTCAAAAACTAATACTAATCGAATTGTCGATAATAGAAGCAGCGTAACCTAGATTTGAGGCGTTTATCTGAGAGTGAGTCCAAAGCTATTACATTACAGGCATATAATTACGTTTAAACTCGCAGAGATTCGACTGGTTTTACTTGGGCGGAATCGCTGTCAGATTCGATTGCACTCATCAATTAATTCGGAGCATAGTTAACTATAACAATTCAGGAGCTTGCGTGTGGCGTGCCATTACAATCGTTGTTAAAATGTCAGGCACATTCAATCGCAGACGGAATTACGAGGACGCATACTATGAACTTCGTTCAATTGCAAATCGGTTCAACCGCGAATACGTGCGCTGTAAGGCCTGATACTTCAAGATTAATTTACAATTATGCTTTCAAATTACATTTACATGCGTTTGTTTTTACGCAAATATATTTTTACGTCAAAGTCAGATTTTGTATTTAGTGTTTTGTTGTTTTACACATTTATTAATTAAAAATATTAACAAATTATATCTTATTGTAGTTGTCAACTATAATATTAAATTAAAGCTAACTTTAGTGTAACAATAATGTTAATTGATCATTAAATCGCAACTTCATATTTATTGTTTAGCTGTTATTTTTATTGAATAATTCGTTTTTTTGAAAACTTGCAAAAGAACATTTTCGAATATTTTTGTAAGTTTTATGAATAAAACGGTTTTGAAAGCAATCGTTAAATTTACTTTTTGTCTGCGTTAAAAGCACAAATATCCATTGGTCGAATAGCTTAAAGAAAAAATATGACAAAGTAGCTCTCTCATAGAAACTGTCGTAAAATATAATTGTTTTGTGAGTAAATGATTTTAGACAATGATGAATGTTGAGTGCCAGTTTCAATTAATTAAAACGACAATTGCACGATTATTTCTTCATTTAATATTTAATCAACGCAAGAGCGTCAATGTATCATAAAAAACGAACAAAAAGCAAAAATATATAATCTTGAAAAATCTATATTATACAACTCTGTAAGTGTACTATGTGTTCTATTATATTAAGATATTATCTTATTTTACAAAGAGTACAAATAATCTTGCTGTCTAGAATTACATAATATATAAATATATTATGTATAAATATATTTGATACATTTTATATCTCTCTATGAAATAAATTGAAAAAGAAAATTATTCATGCAATCGATATTTTATAGAGACTATTTACTTTTTAGTAATTTATAATAATATTACAAGAGTCTCTAAATTTAATGAGAGATTTGCAAAGAAAATTATATTCCATTTCTTATCCTGTTGTGCAATAAATTTGCGATTAATGGCGCACGGAGCATTAGAGGAAATGGTTTCACTATATGTACGCGCGTTGCGGATTAACGGTAGATTCATCAAACATCGACTTACCGGCGAGAGCGCGGTCAAAATCTCCCTTCAGCCGAGTGTAGTGTGTAAATCCACGTTCTGCCAGCCGTTTGCAGCATCCGGTCCTCGTGCGCGGAATAATCTGTATTGTCTGAAACACGCTTCGCGTCGATTCACTCTCACGAAACGCGTCAGACAGATGAGGGCCACCCTGTACGCCCGCGCACGAAGTCGACAGTCAATGGTAAACACACTGGTGTCTCTATACGGTGCACATTATCTCTTTAAAGTCAGTTTAATACTTCGATTGTCACATTCAGCGAGAATTCTCGTTGTACAGTGACAATATACTTCTAATTTCAATAGGAATCCAATCTGTCCAATAATACAATCGTTTGGCTTGACAGCAAAGTGACGACCGGGCGAATGTTCATTTCTGGTTGCTAACGACTCATGTGCGTTACATGCACGTACTCATTCGGATGCTAGGACCGATCAATCATTACAACACACGTGACACGGTTATTCGAGGTGCGACTGACGACGGGATACATGTAACTATGTGATCAGACGATCTAAGTGAATTATCGGCCACCTGGACAAAGTTCGGTCGACATCGACCAGTGATAATGACACTAATGATTTTTCGAGTTCACCGCGATCCCTCGATAAAGTTTCGCGACGATAAGAGGGACGTACGATATTTGCGACCAAAGCACGCGAGTCTCCATCATAAAACGCTTCAATAAAATCCCGCCTAAGATCGCCGTCGTCGACGACGCCGATGATGAGAGTGCGAGCCAAGTTTCAGCGCGTAAGCATCAAACTTTTCGATGAGTCTCTCCGTCGGTTGCTCGTGATCCCGCATCTCAAGAAAGAACCCTTGACATTCTTCGATTTCGCGATCGAGTATGAAAGAACATCACATTACCGATTTTCGTCGACATTTCATCCTGATACACTCATCTCCACATTACCGCCGACTATATATGTACAGTTCTCTTTTTCTCTCTGTGCTGCTCATCAACTTCTCGATGATTCGTGATTAAAAATAAATAAACCGCCACAAGAATATTCCCTACTTGGCTTTTTATTGTCGAAATGTGCTGATGATAATCATTTTTTTTAAACATTTGTTGAGAAGGATACATAAAATAATATCAAGATGTTAACACTGTCAGGTATAGATCACAGTGAATACATTGAACTTGTGCACGCAAAAGAACATCGTTTCACGCGCATAATTGTAAGATCACACAATCCGAAGTCCGGTTGTCTAGACAAAAAATTCGAAACTAAGGACTCGTTGATTAATGTAGAATTTGCCAATACGACGATTGAACTGGATCCTCTTTCACTGATGCGAGATCTCAGAGCGGTGGGTTACATTATGTTACGCTAGAGGCACGTGACGCGTAACATTCGTGTGTGACAGCGAGACAAGAGAAACGTAGTCCACGTTATCCCTAGGCACGCAGAGTGATCAGCGTGACGGTCTGGTCGGATCTGTGTATCAGGGTGCTACTGGGGATAGCCGTATGCTTGTTTTTGCAGAGCTACGCAGCGATAGAGTGAGAGACTGGAGCATAGAGTGGGAGATATAGGGGAGAGAGTCGCGAGCGCACAATGAAGGGAGAAAGAGAAGGTGCGAGAGGGTGAGAAGGAGAAAGCTAAGCTGTTCGAAGCGAGAAAGAGGCAATTCGGTCGAGTGGGTGAACGAAGATGGCAGTAGAACGAAGCGGTAGAGCACGAGAGACAGCTGATGAGGAACGAAGAAAGAGAATGAGGACGGAAAAGGAGGGAAAAAGAGAAAGAGCCAACGAGGGAGGAAAAGAGATAAGCAACTCCCCACCGTGTGGAACTCGACGTCGAGCGACGTCGCGACGGCGCAGCAGTCGCCAGTACTACCATCCCTCTCTCGCGGTTTTGCTATTCTCCCCCGCCGCGAGAAGAGCGATCCTCCGTGCTACCATCCACCTCTCGCTGCTGCTCCCGACCCCGTGCCCCGCACCTTTTCCAGGGCTATGGATCGATCCGACGTTCGTCCGTATATCCGCACGTAAACTTGCTGGTTACGTTCGTTATGTATATTCGCGATTAGCATACTTGTGAATGCCAAGACGCATGCACAAGTAAAAGCGTGTGTCAAGTTCGCGACATCAAATCGGAATAAGAGTCGCATCTCTTTTAAAAACTTAAGAAAAATATAAATACAAGTGCGCGCGCAGCAATATATTATTTCATTCAACGTCAGAGTTGTATATGGAAAAAGAAACATGTGTAGTATACATGTATACGAGTACTCGTATAGATTGAAAAGAAAAGCGCATGCTCAATCAACCGATGAGTACAAATCGCTCGTCTGTCTACTAGAGATCGTGAAAGTAGTTTAATCTGTTTCGTAAATTCCTTTTTTAGCTCTCGAGAATTTCGTTAAACGACGATTAACAGAATTCCGACAGAATAGTTAAGCCGCGAAGTTAGCTGAGAAGTTAACAAACATTATTTCAAGCGATACGTTACAATTGCAAGTTACGACGAGAACACATCTGTGTGCCCGTTCGCTCAAGTTCGTCTTTCGTATGTTTGGCTCTCGACAACTCGTTGTATTGCAAGGCAACTCTGTATATGCAACGTATGAGTGAAAACTTATACACGACCATACGCGCATTTATCTGCTAATGTTTCGTTTTAGTAACGTGCTCTAACCTCCGCACGCACTCGCAGTTTGCACATTTGCGATCGCTTTCACGATGCAAGTATACGGCTAATAAAATCACATGTTCACGCTTTGCTGTTAAGATAAACTTAATTTTTTTCTTTTTACGTTATCAAGTGACAACAAAAGAGTTGACACCGACTAACTGTTTCTGTTGTTGTGTTGAGTTCGCGAATAATCATCCATTATATGAAAAAACTGATATATTTAATATAGGATAAAATCACATTCGCAACTTGAAAAAGCTCTAATGTTGGAAACAGAAATTTTCAGAGAGCCGTGCACATAAAATGAAGACAGATTGCACCGGTATGAGTTATTTTACGCCAGAGAGATAATATTATTAATAACTCATATTAATTTTAATTTTAAGTTTTTCAATCAATTTTTTGTAGACACTCAGTATGCGAACAATTGATTTCAATCACACACGCGAGTCCCATGTGCAGTAGAACCTCGCATATACCACTGCTGCTGCTACTACAAGTTTAGAGCCTACTACTGTAACGATATGAAGAACGCATGTGCACGTATATGTTTGCTAGTTGGCGTTTGTGTGCGTCAATGTATTGTATTGTAATGTATCTACCTATGTGTATGTATCATTGCTCGTATGTCATCCATGTTACATTCATGCAAATATCGTTGCGCTCCGCGAAAAGACCTTGAAGAAGACGAATAAGTTTATACGATACGCGCGCGCCCACAAGTGTCCTGTCGTGTAACGTAAAGTCGCAGTGACATGACAAAACCGGTGCATTCGCTTGTCTCCTACTACTTTTTAACTCACGTGCCGAATTGTGTTCCGTTGTCTCAGAGCTCAGACACGAGATTGCACATACAAACACACACACACACACACACACACACACACACACACACATATATATATGCGCGGACGCTTGATCTGTGTGCGTATGTTGTTCTCATGATTCTCGATTTACACGACACGCATCACTGACAGTACATCGTGTGTATATAAGACTATATATACACACTTGCAGCAGAACATGGTAATTGCAACACCGTCGTAAAAACGATTGGATGGGAGTAATATTACATCTATACATTTGAGAAACATTTACCTAAACCAAACGTCGTCGCAAACAAAAACATTCTTACGTTCTGCTATTATGTTCACATAACAGTAGTGAGATAATAGATATGCGTGTCACGCTCATTTGAGGTCCATCAAAGCAACACGTAACCTCACGGCGTAATCATTTTTTGATGAGACCGACCCAGTGGTCTTGCGGTCTGAGTGCGAACCTGGAGTTCGAATCCGCTCACCACCTAAGGATTTTTTCCGGGCCCGTCCTTTCAATCGAGTGTATCGATTGATTGGCGAACATAATCGAGACTCCAAAAATTAATTCGAGTGTAATTTCGAATTAATCACTCTCCCACAAAGCGATCAGAGTCACATCTTGAGCACGAGCCCGACACAAATAGGCACGCCCACTGTGAAAGAAGGCCGTGTATTGCGTGGTAGTAGGGACAAGAACTGCACAAAAAGTTAAGGAAATAGAAAGAGACCAAAAAGTAGAAACAAGGAGAAGATATGAATGGTGGCCCACAAAAACCGTGCTTCTTAACCAACATCGGTTAAGAAGCACGTAAAAACTAAATGACATAAAAACAAAAAAAAGTCATTTTTTGATGCGGCGCAAAAATATATACTGACAAACAACAGGACGCAGTGTAACTTTGTCGCGATCATTTACATATGTATGTTAAGAGGATGCTGAAGCGACAACTTGTCGCCGACGAGACGAGTGATCTTCGAATCGACTTTAGTCGCTACACTGTCCAAGAGGTAGCGTCCTCTGTCGGATCAAGACAAGGATAGACGTATATATCTCTTTCCTCTCGTTCGGTTCGCCCGTCTTTTTTTTAGACTGATTTATTAAATCTAAAAGTAAGAGTCAATCACGTTCGAAGCAGTCATACTGCTAAACGCAGCAACGCCTTTGATGCAAAGTTTGGGAACTACGTAGTGCTGTTTTGACAGAAAAGCTAACCCCTGCGCTTGTAAATACATACATAGCTAAAGCTTTGTTAGTTTAGAGTGTGATTTTTACTGTAATTTTCGAGGGTTGTAGTGAAGTAAGAAGTAAGAGAAGGACATATCCATTAGGCTTACAAGGTTGGTAAATTAAGAATGTAAAAGTGAAAAAAGAAATACACGAGAAGGGGTGTAAAACACCAAGAAAGCGAAGAACAGGAGAGAAGGGGGGAAAAGGGGGCGGGCTGCAAAGCCCGTCAAAAAAACATGAATAACAAGTACGCAGTGCTATATTGCGACGAAAGTGGAATAACTAAAGAACGATTAGATGAGATAGCAAGAAAGGTGAACGAAGAAGAGGCAATGGAAACGGATACAGAAAACGGAAAAGAGAGGTTAGTGCAACAGACAACGAATAAAGTGAATTGACACAGACAAAGATGGCAAAGCAAAAAATAACTCCATGAAGAAAAAGGAGGAGATAGAAAAAGCGCGGGAAAAATAGATACGGTACAAGTTATGCTCAAAGATAAGAAAGGAGAAGGAGAAATACAAACAGGTAAGAATAGAATAGAGAAGGGATAGATATCTAGTGAACTAAACGAAGAGATCAGAGTAATAGCTCATGTACTACTAAGGCAAACAGTGGAAACAAATGGCAGAAGTGCGATAGGTTTAAAAAAGATTCAAGCGTTAAGATTGATCAGAGCGCAATCAAAAAGATAGACTAAGACTAAATAAAGTATTACCGGTAAGTCCAACAAAAGTAATACTGTCATTTTTATCGGCAGCAGTGGCGCAGAAATGCCTGGGAAGGAATGTGGCAGGAGGAGCTAGCAAGGTAATAGGCGTCACATACAAACTAGACATCAGTTCGACACAAATTAAAGGGGTAATACATGAGTGGGCTGAAGAGGATTCTATCGAAAAACTAATTGCCATGATAGACAGTACAAACAAATTACAAATAGAAAAAATGGTCAAGACGTATCATTCGAAAGAACAAGGAAAGAGAGCGTGGAGAAGGTGTAGAGCGATATTATTGTAATAACATTTTCGGAAAATACACTATCACAAGGAATAAAATTATATGAAGGATTAATAAACATTGCAGTTAAACCATTTGTATAGAAGAGGTTAGACAATATTATAACTGCTTTAAGTATGGACACTTCAAAAAATGGTGTAAAAGCTCAAAGAAGTGCATAAAATGTGGAAGAGAGTATCACGGGAGATGTGAAAAAGACACACATTGCTCAAACTGTGGACGAAATCACTTCCCGACAAGTAAAGAATGCACGGAGTACAAATTTAACAAAGAAATTAAAAAGAAGATAGCGAATAACCAGGTGAACATACATGAAGCTAGAAAAATAGCGGCAGAAGAAGCTATAATAAGAACTCGGTACGACATTTCTTATGCAGACATAACCAAGAGAAATGGACAAAGACAAGAAGAGATAAAAACAACAAACAGTACCCCAACCACAGAGAAAGAATTAGAAGAAGGTAAGCAAAGAGAAGAAGATCGAATGAATAAACCAAAAGATCACAAAGAAGAAAGGGCAAAAGAAGAATAGAATAGAGAACAAGAAGTCCAAAAAAAGAAAGGAAAGATACGAAAAGAGATACGAAACGAGGGAGGAGAAACCAAGAACACAGGAAAGGCAGAACAGGGAAAAAATGTAAGATGGGCTAAACCGATAGAGAGGAGACAGGAAGAAAGAGAAACGGAAGAAGAAGAGGAAAGGGAAGAAACAGATGAGCTAAGGAAAAGCTATATAA